GCCTGGGAAGGACTTTCACTGAAGTGAGGACGAGAGACCTCACTGTCCTCTAGATACCAGAGAATAGGACTAAATACCAGAAGCCAGCAATGAGAGCATCACAGTTACAAAGTCACCCTCATACATAACTCCCACGTGTTAGTCACTCTCCAAACTCAGTCATTTTGTGAGCCACTGGCATCTTCAGTCCCACTCATGATGCTTGCGGAAGACCCTGACCTAGGATTCCAATGTTGTCAGCCATCCTCTTGTTTCTGCATATTAAATTAGACGAAGGCTCTGAACTGACATCAGAGAGAAGTGAAAGGAGACAGCTAAGGGAAAATAACGTTAAGCTACACATTGAAATCCTTTGAGAAATACCCTGTCAAGAGTATAGCCAGAAAATGTAGGATGCGAGAAGCTGTATATTACCGTGACGGTGTCCAAGGAGATTCTTCTATCCCCAAATGAAAAGACACTACATGGCATCAAAGGATAGCACTGTCCTAAACCTGGACGCCTAAGTAGCACACATGGATGTCTGTTCATGTAGACTGACCCCTAGTGGTAGAAACTGCCTGCTGCAGCGACAAGTCTCGGAAAACTGCCTTTAAAGAGAGACCAAGTTTACTCTCTTCAAAATATAGCGCTATGTAGCTTCATAAACGTGTAAATTCTAAGTGACATATGTAGCCATACTGTCCACTTCAAAAACTGACTAAACAATCTACACAATTTATAATAAAGGAGCAAGCAATTTAACACATAACAGACCTATTAGATGGGACTACCTCCCTTAAACGACCAAGCCATAGGTTAATCTATGTGGCCTCTATTACTGTCACCACACCAGTGTCTCTATGAGACAATACTTTGAAGGTCTTCATAATCGGTTGCAAATCACTTATAACAAAGATTGTTTTCAATTTTCTGATTTTATTTCAGGGAATTTTGACATACCACAAAATAACCTAGCCTAACAATTATGAAATACAATCTTAAAAAAGCAATTTGTACATTTCTAAGTAATAAAAAACTAAAACATATATCATTAATATGTTAACTACATAATAATTACAAAGAAAACTGACAATGTTAGTAAAAAAGAAGAGCAACTTATTTCATATATTGCATGCTCCTTTTTGTAATCAAACAAACATTACATATCAAAGTCAAATAATAGTTAGGTTTAAGGAAAGTGAGAAAAGAGTAAGTAAATGGTTTTATACACATAAAACGAGAAATTAACAGCCTTTTCTTCCCCCATCAATGTTGACCACAGAGTCACTAAGACAATTCTTGTTATAATTAAGGAGTTTAGAAACAAAAGTCACCACAGGGGTCAAGTAAGAGGTGTCTTGATCATATGTTCTCTTTCCTCGAGATGTTTTCTACTGACCTCTCAAAGGGAAACTGCAAGATGCTCTAAGTGTGAGGCATTCTTTTTCTTTTTGCTTCTCAAGAGAAAAATATTTCTATTTTTTGCTTTTTGCCCATCCCTACTAGATAAGTCCATGAGTCACTGGTGAGTGGGCAAAATAGGATAGTCACTCAAATCACGAGTGCCTGAAGATAAACTTGTTGTATACCCCCACTATCTTTTAAAAAAATGATTGTTTGCCCCATATTAGAAAATATATATATACATACATACACAATACACACGCCATCTAGAAATTGTCCCACCATAAGTAACATATTCTATAATGCACTACAGCTCAAATAAAGAAAAAAAATTGTAACTTGTTAACTATATAAAATGCATCCCACTGAAAATGAAAATCAAAAGAAATGAGATAAATACATAGGCAACCCATTTCTCGAACAGTGGAGTTAACCTGAAATGACTCTGCAAGTGCAAGAATTTTTGAGGTCAACTTAAGAAGCTCCTAAATTATATGGCTTCTTCTAAGCTACTGGTGTCCTAGGAGAGTACATATCTTTGAATTTTTCCTCCTCCTCCACAACCAAAATCACAATAACTTAAAGAAAACTAACAAACAAGGAGGAGACAAAGTTCTGCTGAAAAAAAACAGGAATGTGGTCAACAGTAGAAAGACCAAGCGAACAAATGCTCATCTCATGGTACTATATATCCTGGCATTCCACTAAAACTCAAAATATTTTAGAAACTCAAGCTCTAAGGTTTAGCAGTTCTAATAAAACTTTCACTTCATTTTATTTTTTGCATGTCTTTAGAGAACCAATGGGCTTCCCTAGTAGCTCAGCTGGTGAAGAATTTGCCTGCAATGCAGGAGAACGTGGTTCAATTCCTGGGTCGGGAAGGTCCCCTGGAGAAGGGATAAGCTACCCACTCCAGTACTGTCCACCCCTGGTGGCTCAGACAGTAAAGAAACCGGCTGTAATGCAGGAGACCCAGGTTCAATCCCTGGGTGGAGAAGATCCCCTGGAGAAGGAAATGGCAACCCATTCCAGTATTCTCACCTGGAAAATCCCACGGACAGAGGAGCCTGGTATGCTACAGTCCATGGGATCACAAAGAGTCAGACACAACTTAGCAACAAAACCATGACCACCAAAGTTCACCTTAGATACTTTTTCCACAGCCTGTGCTCTTCTTAAATAACTCAACTTTAAAAGCACTTCAAAATCTATGTTGCTAAAACTCCATACATACAATTTCTAAGTTTTCCCTAAGTATTGTCAGCAACTCCTCCCATGAATAATAGACACCAACATACAAGGTGTAAAACTCAACAACTAAAGCCTCTTCCTTATATTTGAAATTACTAGTGACAGTCATGTCTGTTTATCAAAGAAATTTTTCTCACACTTTCTGCTCTTTACCTCTCACACCAGTGTTTTGAGAATCTCTGGACTAGTCCAATAGCTCTCAGCATACACATGTCCCCAAATAAAGCTGTAATTCAGATGCAAAAACTCTGAAGCTTAAGACCATCAATCAAAGAAGAGATGCACAAAAGCATGCACAAAGTTCAAAATCAACACAAAAGCAAAATCTTCAGTTGTGACAAAAGATCAGTTCAAGAGTGAAGAGCTAAAAAGAAGAACCATTACTCTACATACCCTAATCACAGGTCCTGCTTCAATTTTCTTTTTTTCTTTTTTTTTTTTTTCTGCTGTTGTATTTTTTTAAATATATTTTTCCCTTGTATTAAAGTCATGTCGGTGATCTATCACAGAAAACAGATCCAGATGGAAAAACAGAAAAATGCTCCAATTCACACTACAGAATGGACAAGAGGGCTTAGGTTTAATATCCACTACTATATAAATAAGTCTCTCAGGTACCCTTGCATTCTCCAGTTTAAAAACCTTTAATTTCAACATGTGGAAGATTTAGCCACATTGGCCTATTACTTGTAATAGGTCTTGCCCTCCCTCTCTGCTACAATACTCCACAGAGCGATGAGCAAACATATTCCCTTCATAGTTACAGGGTTTGGAATTAAAGTTATCTACCCAGAGGTAGATAAGTAAAATCTCACTTCATGAAAGCTTTCCAGATGTCTTTACATCCGTTTCTTTCCCTTAATGCAAAGAAGAACCAGTGCGGAAAACCCTGATATTTAAAATAATTCAGTCTGGCAGTTTTTCCTGCACAAGTCAGGCTCTGCGTATCATGCTACGTACACCTTCTTTTGGCAGTCTGACGTTCACAGCCACATGCACAGTGTAAGAACTCAACCATTTTGTTTCTTCTAAGCTCAGCAACTACCCCTGAATGTAAACTTAGTTGCTTTGACATGGAAAATCATAACAAATTTCAATTAAACAAACTATACTCTTTTCCAAACAGTCCCTAAGGCCAGATTCTCAGTCAGTCAAACGTGTCATTGCAATCATTCCAAACAGGTTGCTAAGATATGCAAAAATCTGGAACATTCAACTTGTTTAAGCTTAATGCTCTATCAATAATAATACCTCGCAGTTATTGAAAACCTGTCTCCAAGGATTTCAATGTTTTATTCACCCTCTACCACTCACGTCACAGGTAAGATGTGGACAAAGTTCAGTTCAGTTCAATCACTCAGTCGTGTCCGACTCTTTGCGATCCCATGAATCGCAGCATGCCAGGCCTCCCTGTTCACCACAAGCTCTGTAAGAGTCTGTAAATTTAGGCAAAAGCACTCTGAAATCAAGTAGCAACAAAGACGACAGAGGGAGGCAGGAGTGCATTCCGTACCACCTAACATGGTGAAGTGAACAGATACACTAACATAATATACTAGACAGGAAAAGAGAACAGGAGATGGGCCAGCACGCTTGACAAGTGAAGTGGGCTGACTATTATACATACCTCCTTTTCCCTGGAAAATGGGGAAACTGCATTCTCAGGGTGCAGGTATGTTGCTCAGATGACCTCTAAGGTATCTGAAGCTCTGGGTCATGAAGGCAGACAATAAATTTAATTCCATCCTTTATTTCCTCTTCATTAATACTCAAAATGATGTTTTTTTTAAAAACACAGACATTTAACATAGAAAGTGAAAGAAAGAAAGTGAAGTCGCTCAGTCGTGTCTGACTCTTTGCGACTCCACGGACTGACTATAGCCTACCAGGCTCCTCCATCCGTGGGATTTTCCAGGCAAGAATACTGGAGTGGATTGCCATTTCCTTCTCCAGGAGATCTTCCCAACCCAGGGATTGAACCGGGGTCTCCCGCATTGTAGGCAGACGCTTTACGTCTGAGCCACCAATTTAACATAGACTGTAAATGTAAAACATTTTAATTTACATTTTAATTTCATTAAAACATTTACATTTTAATTTCACGGGACATTCATTGCTAACTCTTGGGCCCAAAAATAATAGTGACGAACACAACGTATACTATCTTAAAGCCAGAAAGGCTATACTAGAGCCCACTTTGCCCAATCATTCCCACTGTAAAAAAGGAACGCGGAAACCCTGTTGGCAACACGACCTGTTCCAGATTACACATGGAAAATGGGACAGAACTGGAACTAGAAGTCAGCTCTACTTACTCCTGGCGTCACGCTCCCGGTTCCTTCATCTCTGTGGCATCTCCACCTCTAACCCCGGTACACCTTCCGTCTCACTGGCCTCCCTTCTTCAGGGCACCCTGGAGGCAGCACCCTCCACTCCTCCCTGCACGTGAGGCTGGAGCAACACGAGGCCCACGGTATCTCTGCACGTGGGTGGGTGCCGTGGGCCGCAGCATGGCCGGCGCGGTACAGCCTGGCCTCGAGGAGCATCTTCCCTCCTTCATTCTTTCCCCCACTCTCTCCATTCTGGCCATTCTGGTCCATGTGCCACATCACCTGCGTCATGGAAACATCTAGAACGTTTCCACTCCCCCCGCAAGCTGACTGCATCCACAACCCTTTCTCCATCAGACACTGTAGTCTCGCCATCCCCTAACACCACACTGGGAGACTGGTCATGGCAACTGGCCGTACAAACAAGTCTTCCGTGGAGTCACTCCCGTTGAGGAAAGCCTTTCTCTGTCTTACAATGAACGTTTGTTCTCCGAACCTTCCCCGCGTCGCTCTTCCGATTCCGGCCAGCGGCGGGCGGAAGTGGGTGGTGCCGGGCTTGGCGTCCTGGCGCCGGGGCGGGGCGCGGAATTGGGGTCTCCGTCCGGGCGCTCGAGGGGCGGCGTGTGTGACCAGGCGGCTGCGCTCTTCCAGGCGCGATGGTGACTCGGCCGGCGGCCAGGCTGCCCCAGGCCCTGGGGTCAGCTCTCCACTGCCGCTGCTAAGTGTTTGAAATGGCAATTACGTTAGGATCTAGACTTCCCTGGTAGCTCCGTCGGCAAAGAATCTGCCTGGAGTGCAGGAGACCCTGGTTGGATCCATGGGTGAGAACGATCCCCAGGAGAAGGAAATGTCAGCCCACTCCGCCATTCTTGACTGGAAAATTCCATGGACGGAGGAGCCTGGTGGGCGACAGCCCATAGGGTAGCAAGAGTCGGACACTACATAGCGACTAAACCACCACATTATGCCAGGATAATGTCCTAAAAGTAATGCGTGATTTCATTCTTCAGTTTTTAATTGGAAATTAACTATGACTTATAAAAGGACTATGGATGGGAAGTGCAATTAGCAGTGGAAAACTATGTTGTGTTCTAAGCAAGGCCTCTCTTTTACAGCCATTTCTTTATTGGATAGTCGGAAGACTTTTGCACAATAATTTTTTGTGACGTTGTGACTGAACCCAATTTTGATAAGACTTATACCATAATTTATGTCTTCAGTTCAACCTGTATTACAAACTTAAAGTAAAATAGAATTTCTAATTCCAGCTGTGAGTGTTTCCCCTTGCGGTTTGTTATTGAACTTAAAATTACATTCAGTAATTGAGCCTTCTGCTGCTAAGTCACTTCAGTAGTGTCCGACTCTGTGCGACCCCATAGTCGGCAGCCCAACAGGGTCTCCCGTCCCGGGGATACTCCAGGCAAGAATAATGGAGTGGGTTGCCATTTTCTTCTCCAATGCGTGAAAGTGAAGTCGCTCAGTCATGTCCGACTCCCAGCAACCCCATGGACTGCACCCTACCAGGCTCCTCCGTCCATGGGATTTTGCAGACGAGTACTGGAGTGGGGTGCCATTGCCTTCTCCAAATTGAACCTTCTAGGTACATGTAAAGTTTATTTTGCAAGAAAATTTGTATGATTGTTCCAAAACAATGAAGCAAAGGCAAATTTTTCTGGTAAGCGTATATATGTGAATTTTCAGAGATACTGTGGTTTCCCTAGGGCACATTTATTATGGTTTTTGACGCCTAGAAATTTTCAGTATCTCACATTATAGGGGAAGAAGAGACACTACTGGTTTTATTTTTTACTGCTGTGTAAAATATAGTTTACTGAGCTCTGTGTAAACACAGGGCTTTTCTAGTGGCATATTTTCCTTTTCCTGATAATGTATTTTGCAAACAAAGCCTTTAAGCATAATAGGTTCTCCAGACTGAGAATGGAAAGCAGGCTTGATGTCTGACTTAAAAGTGACTATGATAAAAGGTCAGCAGACGGCATCAACATCTGATGATTTCTCATCAGTGCCTCACAAAACAGTTTCAACTCAACAACTATTTATTGAAAACTTACTTCATGATAAGCCAAACTCTATTCTGAGTTATTATTAGTTCTTGTTCTTATGTTCTGACAAGCTCTTAAAGAGCCCAGATGTAAAGATGTTTGGTCTACCTAAGCAGAGGAGGAAACCATCACGGTAACTAAACATGAGTTTTCACCCCAAAATAAGAAAAAAACCATGTAGGTTCTTCTGTCTTTCAAGGGTCCTACAGAACAAATTTGGATGACTGTCTAAATGCAGGATTTGTTACACTAATTGGCAAAAAAGTAAAAGATTTTTATTTCCAATTTTCAGTTTTATATGTTCTTTTAGACATTTGGCCTGATATATGAAATATGAAATCACCCATGGTGACAGTGCCTGTGTAAAAACTGAACGTTCTCCTTTTTTCTTAGATTCTGTCATAGTCTATATTTTTAAGATAAGCTCTATTGAAACTAGTGCTGCTAACAAAAATCTTGCCATTTCCATTGAAAAGGCATGCAGATCTACTGAACAGCTTCTCTTGTGTACTCAAAGATTTTTAAATAAGAATGATTTTCACAAATGCAAAGAGATGAACAAGAAGAGAGGAATAAAAGTGAAACCTAAGAAAACCTGTTCATTCGGAGCATTTCATGTCAAGGTCTCTCATGTTAAGAGAACAGTTCACAGCAGCAGTGTGGCCAAATTTTCAGTGTATATCCAGTTTTTAAATGAATAGACGGTTGGATTAATAAAGAACTTGCTTCAGTGGTAATTTGGACATGAGAAATTTTTTATGTTGAAATGTATTGAATGACCAAATATTAACTAAAACTATCTCTGTGCAAGCAGCTCAGATAGACACTGTAATTGCATATCCATTTATTAAGGAGAATGGCTTAAATACAGGAGTTAGACCAGTTGAACACTGAGCTCAAATTATAAATTTACCTCTATGGTTCCTACTAGGCTGTCAGAAAAAGCCCACAAGAAACAAAATAGAACATCAGTTGACCTGTAGGTTCCAGAGATGAAGTACATAGAACAGAATTTTAGTTTTATATTTATTTGAAGTATTTCTTTATTGTTCAGTAAGGTTGTTTAACACATGGAAATTTTTTTTTAATTTGGCATTTTACATATTTTAAAGTGTTTACGGTGAGAATGAATGTCTCTTAACTATGAATTTATCCTCTGAATAACAAGCCAGAGCCTGGAAAACATGTGAATGGCCAATAAAATTCAGTGTATGATGTTCTCATTTTTCAAATGGATGAAAAACTCTGAAATTATGGAATATAAGAATCCTGAAAAGAATCAATAATTTGTTTCCTTAACTAATATTTTCTCTAGAAAGTTACTTTACGTTAATCCCAGGCTTTTGGAAGTTCCAAATGAACAGCAAATATATGCATTGAATGTAACAAAAATACATCATTTTTAATTGTTTTGAAGAAATTTTCTTGAATTGCACTGTCTCAGACTACAGTACACCTGATCAGGTTAGATTGGGATGGGTTCTAATATTGGAAATAGTCATTAAATCAAATCCTAGTCACAGATTAATAAACTAGACATGGAGTTGTCTTAGTGTAAGAGGAAAGTGTCAGAGAAAAGTAGTTTATCACATACTCAAATTTAGGAAATATCTTTTGAGTCCCTTTCACATGCAAGTCTTTGGTTTAAGTTCTATAGAGTACATAAAAATCAAAGGAAAATTTATGACGCTGAGGAACTCAGTTTAATGTGAGGGATACAAACAACTATTAGGAGAACGATACACTCTGTGACAGAGGCATGAAACAGCAGTCTCCCAAGAGGCTGACCCTTTATAAGGTTTGGAGATCTTGACATGAATAGTTAGGGAAATCAGGAGAAAATTAGTCCAAATGTGGGGCAAACAGGGGCAAAACCTGCATCTCCGGAACAAGGTCAGCTTTAAGAGACTAGACATAAACAGACAGAGAACACACTAGATGCAAGTGAGGGCAATATTAAAATGGAAAGGCAGATACAGTGTCGTGTTTGTTGCAAGCCAGGTCATCAACTATACCTGGTCAGAGATTACACGGAGAAAAGAAAAAGAATTCATTCAATCCCCACTGTTTCACATCTTGCCAGAACCAAGTAGGCAAGACGTATCCAGTCAACCAATGGTGTGCAAGTCTCCCAAAGACCTAATGCTCTGAGGACAGAGGTGAGAATGGGAAAGATAAAAAGTAAGGAGGAGCTCTTCCCATTTGGAGGATCTGAGGGGGCTTCAAGAAAAGGTATTATCTTAACTGCAACTTAATTTAAAGTTTCAGATAATAATCTTGAAAGGAACATGTAAGTGCCCATAAAAATCAAGTGTGTAGGAAATACATTTTGGACACAAGGGTCAGCTGCTACAGACCAGTAAAGAGGTGAGGCTACACCAGAGATTCATCGGTAGGGTAACTGGAAGTCAAGGAAGCTGTGTGAGTTGTGGGATACTCAGAGCTGGCAGGTGCAGAGGTAGCCCCTGTGGTTGGGAGATTGAGCAAATGTGTGCGTGTGTGGTTTCTCACTGCCAAGGAAGAGATTTGCAGACATGGACAGAAAGAAGGATAGAAAAAATCTTCTGGAGAGTTCGAGTAAGACATATCATTATGAATTATTTTTTTATTGAAGTATAATTGCTTTACAATGTTGTGTTAGATTCTGCTGTACAAAAACATGAGTCAGCTATATGTATACGTATATTCCCTCTCTCTTGGACCTCTCTCCAATCCTAAGATACATATGGCAACATACAGAGATGTATGAATCTTGGAACATGTATTTCCTAATTCTGTTTTCTGAGAGGTCCTTGAAATAGTGCCATCCCAATAGCAATGAACATGTCTAATACCCAGATCTTGGTTTCAGAATACCATCCACCATCAGAAGAAACTAGAGCCTCTTAGGGAAATGGTTGATTCCATGGCTGGGGTGAAGCAAACACAGAATGAACCTGGAACATCGTCTTCTGCCAAGTAGCAGAAAAATGTAAAGAACATAAGAGTCAGCTTAGGAATCCAAATCTAAAACAATTTGTATCAAAATAAGTAAGAGTGATTGATTACTAACTCAGGGAACAAAATATGACTTTGTAAGTTCATATGGTGGCGCTAGTGGTAAAGAACCTGCCTGCCAAAGCGGGAAATATGAGATATGGGTTCAGTCCCTGGATTGGGAAGATCCTCTAGAGTAGGAACTGTCAACCCGCTCCAGTATTCTTGCCTGGGAAATCTCATGGACAGAGGAGGCTGGTGTGCTACAGCCCATGGGGTTGCAAAGAGTCGGACATGGCTGAGCATCTAAGCATAAAGTAAACTAAAAAATAATAAAATAAAGTTCATATAATATGGGCTTCCTTGGTGGCTTAGATGGTAAAGAATCCACCTGCAATGCAGAAGACCCTGATTTGATCCCTGGGTTGGGAAGATCCCTTGGAAAAGGAAATGACAACCCACTCCAGTATTCTTGCCTGGAGAATTCCGTAGACAGAGGAGCTTGATGGCCTACAATCCATGGGGTCACAAATAAATAAACAAATGAACAAATAAAAAGAAAAAAACTCTTCCTTACAGTAAAATGACAACAAATAAAAGAAAACAGAATGATGAAAATGGAAAATGGAGTCTAACTCTACATATTAAGTTTTTCTCGGAAGTAGCTGCAGTAAACTCTAGTGGGGTCAAATTTTTGGAGAGACATTTTCTCTTCTGTTTTCAACCCTGAGTTATTTTTCATCCATAATAAAAACACAACGTCGAGTATTGATATCTGCCTGCATAAAGCAGGAAAGTACAGGAGGTAAATGGAGAATGTTAGATTAGTTAATGATGGAGTATAACAGGTGATATTCATTCTGGAAACTCACTTTGAGAACCACTGGCCTAACCTAACATTTTCCCCAGAAATCAATTTCCTAGCTTTGTTGGTAACTTACAGAAAGTTCATGAGTTTTGGAATCTGACCAGATCCAGGCTCAAATCCTAACATTCTTCTAACTGTGTAAACCTAGCAAGTTGAATTTAAATAATCTAATATTTTACAAGACTTTTTGTTGTTGTTTAGTCACCAAGTCATGTCCAACTCTATTGAGCCCTATGGACTTTAGCCCACCAGGTTCCTCTGTCCTTGGGATTTCCCAGGCAAGAATACTGGAGTAGATTGCCATTTTCTTCTCCAGGGATCTTCCTGATCCAGGGATCAAGCTTGCATCTCATGCAATGGCAGATGGGTTCATTACCCTTGAGTCACCAGAATATAGTTATGTATCTGACTATATATATATATATAGTTAGTTAGTTATATATATAGTTATGTATATGACTGTTTTCCTGAAGGTTTGAATATAATATTATTATGGACTGGATGCTTGTGTCTCCTTAAATTTATCTGTTGAAATTCTAGCCCTCAGTGTGATGATGTTAGGAGGTGGGGCCTTTGAAAGGCAATAAGGATGGGGCCCTCAAAAGCAGGATCAGTACCCTTGTTTTAAAAAAATAAACACCAGAGAACATGTATCCTCTCTCTGCTTCTTCCCTGTGAGGATACAGTAAGTCTCAGACTGTCCCCCAGAAGAGGGTTCTCACCAGAACTTGACATGCTGGCACTCTGATCTCAGTCTTCAAACCTACACAACTGTGAAGAATAAATGTGTGATATTTACAAGCCCCTCAGTCTATGGTACTTTATTATAGCAACCAAAACAAAGACAAGTGTCATTTGAATAAATGAACTGAAATGTTTCATTTGTCATAATTTTATCAAAACAGTATATTTTCTTATTTCAAGATTTTTTCAAGATTAGAAAAATAATAAACCTCTGACTTATTCATTATACAAATCAAAGCCACAGGTGAAATATTTATTAAAGAGAAAGTCAATAATTTAAGTACAATGAACTGTGTGGAGCCTGTAAGGAGCAGGACTCTGGTGTATTCGGGTACCTTGGTAAAGCATCTCGAATAGCATCCTCTTCAATTTTAAAAGCAGATGCACTGAAATCCAGTTTCAAACTATTTGGCCCAGAGCTGAGCTGTGGGTACTAAACAATCATCACAGCAGTGAGCCAGGTTTCCTGACAGCTTCCTGGGAAGGAATGTTTCATTTCAAGAACAGGTTTTTTTGTGAATCACGAGTCCAGCTAGAGCTTCCTGCCTGGAAAAGCAAGAGAGCCTGGAAATAATCAAATTCAATCAAAAAGCCAATAAAAATTGTAGAATATTATGATGCATGCCTCAGTGTATCAGTTAGTCAGGATCCTCCAGAAAAACAACCTTTTTTATATTCAGATAGATAAATAAATATGTATATATACAGATAATATACATATATCACATGTACATGTTACATATATGTAGACACAGAGACAGATGGAGAAGCAAAGAGAGACAGAGATACAGAGAAAGACAGACTGATTTTAAGAACTTTACTCTCATGATTGTGGGGACTGTTAATTCGAAAATTCATAAGGAGACAAGTATCCTGGAAACTCAGGTAAGGGTTAAGAACTGACACTGTAGTTTTTAGTCCAAAATCTGTTAAGTAAGCTGGCAGGCTCGAAAGTCAGGCACGAGATCTATGTCACAATCTTGAGGCAGAGTTTATTCTGTTCTAGAAAAATCTAATTTTCTGCTCTGAAGACCTGATTGGATGAGACCCATCACATTGGGCTTCCCAGGTGGTGCTAGTGGTAAAGAATCTGCCTGTCAGTGCAGCAGACACCAGAGATAATGGTTTGATCCCTAGGTTAGGAAGATTCCCTGGAGAAAGCAAAGGCAACCCACTTCAGTATTCCTGCCTGGAGAATCCCATGGACAGAGGAGCCTGGAGGGCTACAGTCCATGGGGTCACAGAGGAGTCTAACACAGCTAGGCACTTTACACTTCACTCCATTCATATTACCGATGACAATCTCCTTTCTTAAAATCAGTTTGTGATTATAAATGTTAATCATATCTGCAAATACCTTCACAGTAACATCTAGACCAGTGTTTAACCAAACAACTGGCTACTATAGTCTAGTCAAGTTATCACACAAAATTAATTGTCACACTCAGTGTCTTGTAAAAAAAATCTTTTAAATTCTCAACAAATTATTCTCAAGAAGAGTACATAAAAACTTGAAGATGGCCATTTAGAAAGTTATTCTTCAGTGTTTGCACTTCAAAGCCATAAAAACATGCATTCACACAGGACTCTAAAATATATCCAAAATTATGCCAGAAGTTTATTCATTGTTGATAGGACCTATTCAAATACATATATAGTGACTGGGGTTTAACTACCCTAACCCCTAACCATAGAAGACCAAAAGGAGGAAGGAGTTTTAAGAAAGAAGAAAAGAAAGCCTAGAAGAAGGTGAGGATTACTAAAAAGATGGCAAGAGAGGTGACAGAAAGAAAAGATAAAACAGATGTAAAGAAATGAGAAGATTTTAATTAAAATCTATACAAACAATGACTCCAGGTTTATTTGAGAATATGGGCCAGGATAGCATTACTAAGGAGAGTTAATTTGACATACAGTATCATGGACAACTGGAGTATATCCAGACTCACACAGTTTAAGAAGAAATAACTAACCTCATAGGTTTCCCTGGTGGATCAGATGGTGAAGAATCTGCCTGCAATGTGCTAAGATCTAGGTTCGATCCCTGGGTTGGGAAGATCCCCTGGAGAAGGCAATGGCAACCCACTCCAGTATTCTTGACTGAAAAATCCCGTGGACAGAGGAGCCTGGCGGACTACAGTCCATGTGGTTGCAAAGAGTCGGACATGACTGAGTGGCTAACTCTTCACTTCACTTCAACCTCATAGGCAATAATAGAAATAGGCTTCATTTTTTTTTTAATTGCAGGGCATGGAACAATTTAAAAAATCTTACATGTAGAAAAATAAGGAATTTAAACATAGCATGTAAATTCAGAGAACTTTCCAAAATGGACACAAACTTTTTGTATAGAAGACAGCAACACAAGTCTTTTTACCTTGCAAATACCTGCCTCCTAGTCATTGTTCTTCCTCTAATCCTGTTTATCTCCTTTATACATGACATTCACTTTAAAGTTAGTGAGGTTGGAAAGAAATCATGCAGTGAACATTGGAAGGGGAAAAGGTCAGAAGGTTCAGATTAATGCATCACAGATCAGCCACATTCTGTCAACAGCTTTATCATCTTTTACTCTTCCATATAGAAAAACATCTTTAGTATATTTTTCACAAATTGGGTTGGCTTAATCCCAGCAAAGCACTTTTTCCTTTAAGTGGGATAATGTATGTGAAATTTTAAGCTTTTCTAGAATAATTTAAATATTTTACTTGTGGAAGTGACTTTTCTACTGAGTTCATATAAAGTTTACTAGCAAAAAACTAAAAAAAAAATAATAAATAATGTGCCTTAAGCTTACCTTTCAAATTTAAAAGCCAGAATCTAAAATTAAAAAAAAAAAATTTCCTTATAAACTGCTAATTATCCAAAGAAAAATTGCAACCAGAAGAGAAAAATAATGTATCAGGCCTAAGTTGAAACATTGCTGAAGACCTCTGTAGTTTGTCTTCCTGATCTGGTAGTTATAGTATTGAGCACACACTTAATTCAGCCCTGCAGAGGTGAAAATAATGCATTTATAACTGTTTAATAAATGGTTTTCTTGTAATATTGGTAGATTGTAAATAATCAAGATAACACTGTCCTAGATAACAACATTGCTCAAAATACATTCATCATCTGATGTACATTGTCTCATTTAATTTGTCCCTATAAAATAAGCTTGACAGATAGATAATATTAATCTAATTTTATAAACAGGGAACCTTGATAAGAATTCTAGCAGGTATAAAGGTGAGACTAAGACTCCAATTCTGACTCAAGAGTATTTTTCCTTGCAGTACTTTACATGCCTTTGGTTTGATTTATATCAAACTAATGTTATTGAAGACATTATTCTCAATATGATACTTCATATATGTGGAATCTAAAAAACGCAAATCATAAAAGCAGAGGATTACCAGAAATTAGAAGGTGGAGGAATGAGAGAGATGTATAAAGGTACATGTTTGTAACTAATAGACAAATATGCCCTGAAGATCTGATACACAGTACAAGGATTATGGACAACAAAAGTGAAAATCACTCAGCTGGGTCTGACTCTTTGTGACCCTCAGTTCATGGAATTATCCAGGCCAGAATACCGGAGTGGGTAGCCTATCCCTTCTCCAGGGGATCTTCCCAACCCAGGAATTGAACCAGGGTTTCCTGCATTACAGGCAGATTCTTTACCAACTGAGCTATCAGGGAAGTCCTATAGACAACAAAACTGGATCATAAACTTTAAACCTGCTAAGAGACCAGTTCTTAATTGTTCTCACCACCAGAAGAAATTATAATAATGTGACATGATAGAGATGTTGGCTAATACACAGTGGCCATCATATTGCAAAATAAATGTATCAAATCATTAAGTTGCACACTTTAAATGTATACAATCTTGTATGTCAAATATATCTCAATTAAAAGCTTGTAATTAAAATTTAAAGATTAAAAAGGGCTTACTGTGTGGCATGTGCTCTAAATATATTAATTTATGTAATTCTCATATCCATTCTATTAGGAAGATTGTATTTTAAGACTGAGGCCCCACAACCACTCCACTTGCTAACATCAGGCCTCAGCTTTTGCCCTCAGCAAGGTTTCAGAGTCTGTGATTTTAACCACTACTCCCTATTGTACCAAAAACTTTCATCTGAGATCATGGTTACCTGATTAGGAGTAGAGACTCATTCTTAGAAAATCATTTCCTGAAAAAGCGCGGAATCAGTAGAAATTGTAGCACAAGTAGGGAGATGTGAAGGAAAAGAAAACACATTTACTGACCACATTCTTGGGCTAGACCTGGCATTTTATTTATTTGACTCATTCAGTCTGTAGCCACTATAAGTATTGTATGCTATATAGTCATCACAACTACTCCTTTGAATAGGTACGATCCCACTTGAAAAACAGAAAACTGAGACCCAGAGTGTTTAAATAATTTGCCTGTTATCAGAGCCAGGATTGAAAACTAGTTAAATTTGACCCCAAAGTTATTGTATTGTTACTTTGGTGATTCTGCTGAGCAATCCATTTAATTCAGTTGAGTAAATGTAGATCTGATAGCAACTCGCAATCCCTGAGCCACAAATAAATCACAGACAGCTCTGATCATTGTCGCCAAGTAGGAGATAGGCCTCGAAGCACTTTGTAGCACTTTTGTGAATAGTCAGTTTCTATTGAGAAACTTATTCCCTGGGCCTGGTCTACAGCATTAATGCAGTTCCCCCACCCAGTGCTTCTTAGTTCTTTCTCATTCAAAAATCTATTTCCTTCGCAGTGTTATGATAGATGCCTTCATGTGTCTTACACAGATGAAGCTGCACTTTCTGTTTTTGCCTGTAACCTCTTCGAGGGCCTGAAATGCCAGCTCTGGCAGTAAGTAAAAGCACTTGAACAAAGAACAATGTCAGCAAGAAGCTGGAATAAAGAGGCCTTCCCTGAGTTCTCCCCACAGCTACTGGTCATAGCCTATCTACAAAGTCTGAGGTCACTTGGTAGGAGAGATTCTAATAAAATAGCTGCTCATTTCTCACCTAGTGTCTCTCCCCATACGTGATGAGATGCACTCAAAATAGCCATACAATCATGCAGCATTCATATTTGATGCAAGTACCTATCACTGAATAGGTATTCAATAAACATATTTTGACTGAATGTAAAGTAATCCTGAAAGTTTCAAATTAGTATTACAGTGACTTCACCAGACTATTGATTTTTCTTGTTAAATTAATATTGATTCTCCTTGTAAAACTTATATTTATCATCAAGGAATCAAGGTGCATGTGAGAAGTAGGTTTTCAATTATTACACAAAGCAATTAAATACCCAAACCTGTGATAAATCAGGCCAACATGAGATTTTAATACGGAAATAAAAGTTTTTCCTGATTGCCAAAAGCATAGCATCTCTATGGGTAGTTCTCTATCTCATTTATAACATGCAGAATAAAAT